CCATTTTTTGTCGATTGCTTGCTTCAGTCTCATTAGTTGTTGACAGTGAAATGTAGAATCTGGAGCAGCTCGTAGTGGATGATTCCTTTTCAATAGCACCAAATACTCAGCATAACCTTTCGAGGCATCAACTCTGGCTTTGCAACCCTTTGTTGAGCTTTGCCATGCTTGGACCATAATCTGTTTCGCACATTGTCGTATTTGATCCACTTTTTGTCTCTTGTTACCATTAGCTTCAGAAATGGTTCGATTTATGCGACTGCATCAACATCTATTGACAAAAGATGAAAAAACGTTTTCGACTACCCTAGGTATCGACTACATTTTTTTTTACCTACTAATACTGGGAGCAAAAACGGCATTTAGTTATTTTTAGAGTATACTAAATTTGCGACGAAGTTTGTAACATCGGTGGCCCAATGAAATGTTTATGCAAAAGAGTCGATTCAGCCATATATTTGTCTATCTGTTTATATATGGAACTAGTACTTCAGTTTTTGAGATATCGATCTTAAACTTTGCACCCATTTATTTCCCACCAAGAAGCTGCTAATTTGCCGTGCAAACTGAATGCTCTGAATAAACAGGAATAGAAAGTCTTTTCATTTGACAAGATATGCTCAAGATAATTGACATGAACTGGTGAATAATTCAATGATGCAACATCTCAACAAATTGTTCTAAAAGTCTCACAATAGTATATATCGGCCATCCAAACTAACTTATCAAAAATTTTTCAAAGAATATTTTCTATTTGTGAATTTTATTATAGCTTTGGTTTAACTGAAATAAACGCTTTTTCTTGTCATTTGATATAAATGTCATTACAAATATAAGTACTAACTCTGTTAGTATGGTTACCGAATCACTTGAGTTACTCCTTGGCTAGCTGGAGGATGACTTAAAAGCTTTCATTGTCAGGAAATACTAAATTGCGCTCATTTAAGATGTTACAACCCTCCCGAGTAACGTATCGAACAGGCAATACGAGTAGTCAACTCGGTACAAACATTCAGCTGAATACTATAAGCTTGAAACCAATCAAATCACTAAACTTGAGTGAACCCGATCATTAAAAAAAGGTCGTTACACTGGAAATGAATTCAATTTGCAACTTATTTCATTAATTTTTAAATTCCGCCTTAAAAATTCCCGTCCTTTTCGCCAATTAAATAAATGAATTGGGCATGTCAAAGCAGAATCAAATAAAATCTGACTAAGAGCCTTCTAATGTTTCCTAGAAGAGCAACGGTTTCAAATACTAAAATAATATATTATTGCTTGGATTTGAAAGGCAACAACGTCAGCTTCCGGACACGATAATAAAATAATTTTGTTGGTAATTTTTCCGCCATGCCAAGGCATGGAAACCGCAACACGAAACTCTGCTAACCTCAAAAGCTGGTGTGATGGCGCAAAATGTCAGCAGACAAAAATAGGAAAATACAAAAAATAACAATAACAACATCAAACAACAATTTTTCGGAACTCTGCTTGGGTTCACTCCAGACCGAACCAACACTTTGAGGCAAATCATGCAGAGTTGGCAAAGCGCTCAGTGAATACGAAATGATTAATTGCGAAACGGATTTATTTGGTTGACAAATTATGCCAGACTCATTAGCAAATAAATGCAGGGTGGTGGCGGCGGCAATCATTTTAACTGCGCTCGTATGTTCGAAAATAAAATAAACAGGCATACAAATTAGCTGAGTGCTGCCGCAGGCGAAAACCCGATTACTTTTAGTAGGCATTTTGAGTGAGTAAGGAAATTGAGGCAATCAAGCTGTAACAGTGAAGTTATTAGGGAAATAATAAGTAAGGTTTAGTTAAAAAAAAAAAAAAAATTCAAAAACATTTTTTTGCGAAGGCACGGTCGATATCAGCAAATATTGGTTTCTATAATGTGAATATCTATTATATTTCGTACTCCTTTTAGGAATCATTTATTTATTTATATATCATCACTAAGAGACCACCTTTTTTCATAAAATAAAATAAAAGAAAAATTTTTCAAAAACTTAACGCCACACCATCTTCGGTGATCTCCTTCCACCGCATGCCGCCCGCCTTATCTGCACATATTAAGTCCATTAATAAAACTGACAAATAGAATTGAATAAAATATATTCGTCCATTTCATAGCGAAGATTATATGCGACTTTTACATGTTGCTCGTTTTTCACACTCAAATTCTCGCCTGCCTGCCTGCCTGCCCTGCCCTTCCACTCGCCATCGCATCGCATTCGCCACACCAACCGCTGCTTTTACTCATGCCGGCATACAAAATGGAAATAAATTTCTATTTGTGGCTTTGTGTGTGTATTTGCGCAGCAAATGTGGAACGCCGCTGCAAATTAATTAGCACGCAAACCACCAGTCGTGACCAGCCACGTCATCAAATAAAAGCGGGCGCTAGGCGCTACATATTGGATGTTGGCGCTGATGATGATGATGAAGGAGCCCTCAGTCAACCTCTAACCGTGCTAGCGTGGTGCGTGATGGTGGTTGGGGAAATTTTTAAATGCCATTTATTTGGCTTTGCTTGGTATAATTAATATCAGCAATAATTTAGTGAAATACATTGCGGTTACAGAAAATCACCAGCAATCGTGCTTGTTGACCATTTCGCTGTGTTCTGTGTTCTATCTGCCTGCCTGCTAGGCACCGCGCTGACTAGTGGCTTGACAAAATTCTGACATGTGCGTGGTCATTAGTAACCGCTGCTATGATCAAAATACAGATATGCTGCAGTGTAAATGTGGTGAACCCTGTAGGAAAAAGTTGAAGCTTTGCATGCATAAATAATGTGGCAGGAAAATTGTTAACTCGTTGCACCGAAGCTGTAATAGCCTACAAATATACAAAATACAATCCCTTTATACCGATCACGCTGTTTGTACAGCAGCTATAGAAGTATATTAGGCCAATATCTGACATAAACAAATTCCATAAAATAAAGTTCCCTTATTCCATACAACGTAATTCCCTTGAAGAATAATATACTGATTAAAGCGACCCCCCAACTTTTCGATACCATCTTAGTGGCACGAAAGCAAAGGACAAACCTCAAAATAGGCTTCAGTTTAAGCGATTACCTCTTCACTCGACGAAAATTTGCTCCCAGTGAGTATTTTTTTGAGATCTGAGATTAAGAAATAGTCTCTGCGAATGCAATTCGAAGTCAAATTGGTGAATTTTCGCCAATTTTTTCACTGACTTGTGACACAGTACATTGTCTTGTTAAAACAGCAGATTCTTTTTCTGTAACGCGGCAGTTCTTCGGGCATTTCATCCTTTAAACTCTCCAATAACACCATATAGGTAATAGTTGGCTGTTGATGATCCCTTCTTCTGCAAGGTAGTCAATAAAAATTATTTAATGTGCACCCCATAATACAGAAGATTCATAATAAAGTTGATGTTATTCAATATTATCGCTTAAAAGTTAATTTCTTTCAAAGCTGCCTAAGCGTATATCAAGTATAATCTTTCCCACAGGGTCTACTACTGTTACCACAGACTCACCCATTCTCACTGTCTCGCGCTTTCTCTCTTTCCCACTCTCTCAAGCATAATACTGTTTCGCTCAGCAATGTGTATTGGCTTTAAAGTGTGTCTTCGCTCAAATTGAGCGGTTAATTAGAAGTTTAACATCGTGTCGTGCCTTTTTGATTTCGTTTATGCAAATAAAACATGAAATTAGTGTCATTTATAATTTCGATTTTTAGCATGCAGCATTTAAGTAGCTGGCAATTTATTGATTACGCGCCATGAAGGGCCAACAGTGACGGTTCATTACCAATCACAACGAATACTTTAAGTGGAAGTAATGATGGGTAACGAAAACCAAATGGCAGCCGCACAAATCACCCCAACCCCTGTGATAAGAAAAAACCAAGAAAATTTTGTGAAATATTCGCTGCTGGCAAAGAAACTTTTGGTTGACCTAATAAAGGGTTAGGTTCACTGAAATTGCGTATTTATAACTTTTTGACATGGGAAAATTAATGGTGTCTAGTAATATGTAAATTGCTTGGTTTGCATGTGGCATAGGTATGAACGCGTTTTGCTCCGCTGTTTAGAAAGCTAGCAGAGCCTTGCTATAGGCATGCAGGAAAATAAATGGTAATAGTCGAAATATTAGTTTAATTCAGCGTGTTTTCATTTCGTCTGTCTTCATGCATCATTTCTCACTAATCAAACTTTTACTACGCAGCATATGATTCTTCTCAGAAGTAGAAGTATAAGAGTATATTCAATTGAAATACAGTACCATATTGAAACTTTGTTAAAAGAGATGCTTAAAATGTATAAAAAATATACTTAAAGTGCTTAGTGGGCGCTTGCAAACTTAGCTAATCCTCATGAAGAAACAGGTAGTAGTTAATAAAAGCAAAGGTAAATAAATGGCTTTTACTAAGTAAGTTCTCCTTTAGAATTCCTGATAACTTTTAGAGAGCTTCGAAACGTTTAGAGAGTCGAAAACGATAATTTTGTTGTCGCATTATGGTTAAAGCTAGCATAATAATTAGTATGTAGTCTGATAACAAAATCATTGAGTCAATTAGCAAAAGATATAAAAAATTGCTAATTCATTTTGCTGCTATTTGCATTTGAAAACTTAATATTGTATCTTGCTTTTCTCAAGAAAAATATCTTATTGCCCTTCACTACATTTCCTAAAAAGAAAATTAACTCAATTCAATATCACGATGTCATCACTTCGCACTCACAATTTGGCAACAGAAGCCGATTTCTTTACATCTCTTCAATAAAGACTAACATTTTGATTTTCCTGTCATTGATTTCAACACAAATGTTTTTTGTGTTTTCTTATGCTTATTCTACTGCTAATTTAACGCTTACGCTCCATTGAAGGGGAAAACGCACTGCTGAGCCATGCATTAACTTAATTAAATTTCACTTTCATGTAGCGATGGGAAAAAATAACGGCAAACGAACTTAAAGGAAATCAAACTAATCAGTAGTTGGACATCGGCGTTTGCACCATGCTGAACTAGAGAGCCAGACATCGTAAGTCCCACCTGTTTGCGTCCTCAAAGAGTCAAAGAGCAAAAACGTTTGGCGACCACGAGTTTGTTTTAAATGATTTTCGCATTAAATAAATAGCTGTTAATAATGCGAAAGATAGTTACATGATGAAAGTGATTTTAATTCATATAAATTAGCCAAATATACATTTGTTTGTGGATATATTCTTCTGGAAAAGATCAAACCTTGATTCTCAAATATATAAGTAGCAGTGTTGCCGAATCAAGAAATCGACGCTGACCTGTTTTTTTAAGAGGTTATATGCACTTGTAATTTTGAAAAAATCGAAATTTATTTTGCATAATTTGAATGTATATATATTGGAGAATATTGTCTGTAATTTCAAAGTAGTCCGGAAAATAGTTCCGGAGTAATGAGCGCATTTGTAAGAACGCCTCCGAGCGTGAAACCGTAACCCGGAGTAGCTGCAGTAAAGCTACGCTTTAAATGCGTTTTTCTCGAAATAATATTTTAAAGGTCGATGAGGAATATTTCTCCGAAACGGCTTGACCGATTGGCTTGTAATTTTCACAGGATCTTCTTAGATACTTTTTTCAACTAATGATAGGAGAAATAAAGTTTCTCACAAAATTTATTTTAAAGTGTAAATTTTCGTGCAAAAAAGGTTTTTTTGTTGGGATCCATTTATCTATCCTAAAAGTAATCTTTTTGGTTTTTATTTTAGTTAATTTGGATCAGAGATATGTTTCTCACCGTCAAACACCTTTTTGTGGAGGACTTTCATCAGATCTTCTACAGGTACAACGGAACCCAATATTTTTATTAATAAACTATGAATTCTTAGAAAACGTTAAACTCGCTAAATTTTCATATATTTTAGGAATAACAAGGAAGGAAGAATTAACAAAGAAAAACATTTTTTCGAACTTAGAAGTGGATACCACCCCTTAGGAAAGCTGAAATTCGCTATATTAAATACAAATCTTCTCAGCAAAACAAATATTAATATGAAGAGGATCATGATCGAAAAAAAAGTTTATCTACGTTGACGGCACAGCTGTCACTCGCCGGAAATACACTCACTTCTAAATGATCAGATGCACATTTTTCATTCTCCGTTGCTAGCGATTACTTGAAGATAAATTTTTCGATGTTTTTAGTAAACGCCACAACACTGACATTGAAATATTATCTCTTATACTACTGTCTGTATATCTATGTATCTGTATATTACTAGATGTTTCACCGTCAAAAAATGGGATTGAATCGTAAACATTTAATTTAGCTGTATGGATCTGTGTTTACCTATGGTATGGTGAATTTCGAGAAGGTCGTGCAAAATTATTGACGTTGTAAGATCGTAATGTGAGCTATGGTGAGAAGGAGACAACTATAGACATTAGTTAGATCAGTATATATTCAAAAGGAGATTTTGCTTGTTGGATCCTACACAACTTCTCAATCGCTCAAAAAAAGGCTCGTGTAAAGAAATACGATAACAGTGCTTCGAAACAGATGACTAATCGGAAATTTACGCGTATGAGCCTGAATGTAATAAGTAGTCGATTGATATTGCAGGATTGTTTCAAGATGAGCTGAATCCAAGAAAGACTGTTGACGCACGAGGCACTTCCAAGCTAATGATTACATGTTCTTTAGAAAACAACAGAACAGTAAATTCTTAGTAGTACACAACCATTTATGTGTCAGTTGTCTTTCTAGTAAACAGAAAACCAACCGCCGTAGATTGATCACTCTTTATCACGACAGTGCAAGCTCTCACACTTCAATTGAAACAACTCCATTTCGTGCACCTAGAAAACATCGATTTGATTACCTTTTATTCCTGACTTTATACCGAATGACTTCTCTTTATACAGACAAAAATTAAGTAAAAGTTAAGAAGTGGTTTTGTATGCTACATAATTTGGTTCAAACGCTCGCAAAAGTACTATGATAAAATTGAAAGGTGAGATTTGTCCATTTCATCTTCCATTGCAATACACTTATGCCAACGAATTTTCCAGTCATCATAGCATTTGGAAAAATCCTCCGTCGTGATGACTATCCGAGCCTTCTTCGATTCTGATTTTGTATCCTCAATTGAGTAAAAATGCTGTCCTCGGAGTGGTCATGTGAATTTGGCGAATAGCCAGAAGTTACAAGAAGGTAAATCAGGCGAATGCAGTGGTTATGGTACGATTTCCGTTGAAAATGTGATGAAGTATCGAAGAACACACTTTTAGAGTCTCAAAAACTAACGTCTCAAATACTAATAAATATTTTGACGTGAAATTTATGGTGGTTAAAGAAGGTATTGACGGATTGAAGTGAGAGTTTTTGTATACCAGGTAAACTTATTCTTCTAAGTTTCATTTTCGTACCTTTAATAATGCTTGTATGATCTATTGAAAGCAGCCGAAAAGTTTGAAAAAATTCATTGCATAGGAAGTGGGCGTGGTTGTAATGAAACGTCACCAATTTTCAAGTTTTACTAAGAGAATACAACAAATTTATTTCAAATTGCTGATGGCGTTGCTGCAAGATTTTATTGTATCTAAAAGTGGGCAGTAACACGCCAATTGTTTAAGTTTTTTACCAGAGATACCCGCCTACCACTTTGATCCATATCTGCCGAGCAAAGCCCGCTCTCCTTATACGAAAAATATTTTCATATTTTTCATAGTTTATTTATTACTAAGTTTGCGCTCCTTTCATTTTTACAAGAACTACAAGAACTATGATTTATCGATGACATCTAGCGCCAGTGTCACTGCAGATTATTTTCAACTTTCGTCATAAATGGACACTTTTTACACATTTAATGCAGAGTTCATTATAATTTTTGTGTGCAATACCCGCTTTTTCGCTGGCGCAACTTTAAACTAGGTTAAGAACTGTTCCTGACAAGTTGGAAAAATAATCCGCATGCTGGTGTAGAAAAAACAACAAAAGACAGTTGAAAGCAAAACCATCACAAAAAAAAAAAAAAGATTAAATAAAATAAAAAAAGAAAATAAAAAAAAACTCGAACAAATACCCCAAACGCTAAAATAATTTTTCAAAGCTTTGCAAAGACGAAGGTCAGCTGGCGCTTTTTCACTGGCAGCAAATCAGCATTTTGGTGCGGCTTGTTGTTGACACTTTCATTGCTGCGGCCGTTGGCGGCGAAATGCTTGGATGCATAATTAAGTGGCTCGTCGCCGTAGTTGTTGCCGTAGCCGTAGTCCTAGTATTAGGCAGTGAAAGTTTCGAGTTGTTAGACTTTCACTTGCGCTTTAAATTTTAATTTTTGTCATTCTTTCCGTTTGCCGCGTTGTTATTCCACACTTTATACACTTTCTGTGCACCCCAGGTGACGAGGTCAAGGCTGCTGGAATCAGTTTAAAATTGGCAAACGCGCCGCGCACAGACGTTGGCGACAAAGCGTCGCATAGCGCGTGGCCAACGCAAAGCGCGACGTGCAAACGGAAATGTTAACGAGTGGGGTGTGAAGCGTCGCGTTAAATAAGCGCAATTTATGGCCGAGAAAATAGACGGATATTTCTTACTGTTTATGCCATTTTTATATTTTGCCTATTTGTTGTGAAAAAAAAAATTAAAAAAATAATAAAATAAATATATACATATGTATGTGCGTAAGTATGTGTGCTGTCTATTTCGGCGCTGCCGTTTGTTTGCTAAAGCAAAGTTGCCATAACTTTGTTGATAGCGGCGTTGATGAAGGCCTCATAAATATGAAGGAGCGCAGTGACGTTGAGTAGCGGGAAATCAAGTCAAGTGCAGGAAAGTTGGAAATGCGCTTGAAAGTGACCGCCATTTCGCGGCCTGTCCTTTGGCGCTGTCCAAGCGACAACAACCTCGATTGTGGACATCAAAGGCGATTTAATGTTTTCAATGCGCTTCACTGATTTTCGCATTTTATTTATTCCTGTCAAAGTTGCTTCTTTGTTTGCGCTTAAATTCTACAATTTCGGTTTTGTGTGTATGTTTTTACTGGCGGCACATACACTTGCGCACAAGCTGTCGTGTATATTTGTATTATTAGCTTCACTTTCGTCGTACAGATAATCTATTTAATGCTCTATTCTTTATTGTTTTGTGACTAAAGGTCTTCGCTGTTGCATAAGTTACTTACACTGAATTCATCCGCTCGTTTTCATGGTTTCTGTGTTCTTATCAGATTTTCCTTGCCTGATAGGGGAGGCATTCTTTGCTTTGTTAACTTCCGGTCCACACACGTTTGCTCAAAAGATGCGGCCTTAACAGAAACTTGCGCAATATATTATCCGCACGTTCGTGTCCCGTTATTGGCGCGCATTGTATTTGTATTGGTGTCTCATATATTATATATCGGGCTTAGTTCGGCTTATTGAAATTTGCTGATTTATATGAGTTTGACATTTAATATATTGTTCTTAATTTCTTTGTTTTAGTCATTTACCAATAGCCGCTCAATATTGCATGGAGACAAACTTACATATTTTTGTGTATTATATATCCATTTCAGACGAATGCTGCGAGTAAAATTTTGTCCATTATATGTTGTGAAAGAAGTTCTAAAAAAATGTTCGATACTTTTGTATAATATTGCATGAAGCTGTACGTGCACAGTCGTAGTTCAAGAGTGCGTAGCTGAACTTAATTCGATTTTTGACAATAAAACTCCATCAAGAACCTCAGGTCGTAGATCACATCAAGCAGAATTACTTGAAGGTCGTCCAAAATCTGTATTTTTGAGCACACCAAACATAAATTTGATTAGTCGTCTTCCGTATAGTCCTGATTTGACACCGAATGACTCTTTTCATTCCCGTCCAAAAGGCATGTTTTGGAGTTGTCTCAATCCGAACTGCTTCGAAAATTGGTTCCAACGCAAGCAAAAGTGTATAGATCTTAAACGAAACAAGTAAAGACGTTAACTTCGGCTGCACCGAAGCTAATATATCCTGCTTTTAGTAACTATGTGGCCAGTTTGTATGGAAGCTATATGCTATAGTAACCCGATTTGAATAATTTTTTCAGAGATTATGTTATTACCTTAACCTAAATGTGAAATTTTTCCATACAAGAACTTGATTTCGATCGTTTAGTTTGTATGGCAGCTATATGTTATAATGGCCGGATATCGGCAGTTCCGACAAGTGAGCAGCTTCTGGAAGAGAAAGTGACGTTTGCAAAATTTAAAAACGATATCTTAAAAACTGAGGGACTAGTGCCTATAAGTATATGCAGACATGCGGACAGACAGATAGACGTGGCTAAAGCGACTCAGCTCAACATACTGATCATTCATATATACTTTATAGGGTCTTCGACGCTTTCTTCTGGGTGCTCAAACTTCGTTTAAGTTTGTCACGAACCTGTTCAGGGTATAAATATTTTGGAAAACAATAAAACTATTTACGATGATTAAAGTTTCTTTTTGGTTTCTGTTCCGGCCCTGCCTTTCAAAATGAATGATCATATATCTGTTCGAAATTTGTCACGAATTAATGTCCAATAAAACTTTAAAATATCTGAGGAAATTTTCCTAATCAGACCCCTATTGAATATAGCTGTCATATAAAGTTATTTGTCAAAATTCAGCAGAGTTTTAAATATTTCTTATATCGAAGAGGACATAAGAAAAATATAAGAGTAATATTTTCATATTTAATACGGGTCCATTCTTTCTAGTACTCGACCACGTATTCCAATATTTAAAGAAAAATCCTAATGCAAAATAGTTGTACGCGACTTATGAGCAACATTTACCACCCCATTTGAAAAATATAACTTTTTTCTCAGCAATAAATTGCAAAATCGCTATGTCCTTCTTCGATTTGGTCCTTAACAAGAATTTCATTAGCCAGCCATAACTGTGCCAAAAGCAGATAGTCATCAGAATTGAGTGCAACGAGCCATGAATAACGTAAATTTTAATAAATAATTGGATAAAATATATAATACCGAATTATATTACGCCCAAAGACAATAAAATTTTAAATAAATTGTAAAATCTGCATGTTTAAATGGAATCGCGCTTA